GAAAACAGAAGAAAGTTAGACCTTGAATTACATCCCGTTTGTGTTCTGATTTTTCTTTTTTCTTTAAAGGAAATAAATATAAATTCATCTTGCATTTAATATTTTTTTTTGAACGAGACCTCGTAGAGTTCAGGCTTTTGTTTCATCAGAAGAATTTAGTGAAGAATTTTACAAGCAATTCTAAGATCATATATCATTTTATTAACTGCACTGTGAATAAGCTGCTGTATGTCTTATTCATATGATTATATAAAGTAATTGAGTTGTGAAATTCTTGAATGCCTGCAGGGAGCTTTATAGGAATGATATAGGAGGGAAAATTCCCAAGGAGTTGGGTAATTTGAAAAATCTTGTTAGCATGGATATGTATGGCAACAAGTTTGAAGGAGAAATACCTAAATCTTTTGCCAATTTGAAGTCTCTCGTATTCCTGTAAGCATTTTCCCTTCAATTGGCCAAAGCAAATTGAACATACACAACTCAGTAATTACTTCAATTTTGGAACTTTAATTTGGTCGAATTGATGGTACAGTCGACTAAACAACAACAAGCTATCAGGATCTATTCCAAGGGAGCTCGCAACTCTTAAGAACCTCAAAGTTTTGTAAGTAGAGAACAAGAAGAAGTTTTAAATTCCAAGTTAATAGTTATGGAGCTTGTTTATATTAGTTTTCTAATTTTGTCATGTTTTCCTTTTGGTTGCAGTGATGTTTCTAACAACGATCTCTGTGGAACAATTCCTGTTGATGGCCCCTTCTCCTCGTTTCCTATGGAAAGGTATCTTGATCATGTGAACTTACATTCTCGCTTGTAGTTTTCTTGAATCATTATGACATGGAAGCTACTTCCTCGTCATTTGCTAAATTTCTTATGGCCATTTGCATATCTGAAATGAAACTGTTAGTCTCCCTAAAAATCCCATATAGCGAGTACACCGAGAAGCTAGACCCTGAAAGGAAGAACTTCAATGGTGTGACCTTAAGAACCTGTTACCTGTGTGAATCAGTGTCGAACGTGTGACTGGCATGTGGCATTTATGAACTCACCTCACATAATTACTCTGCCCCAATAGTGAAAACTAGGAAATCCTCAATCATCTCAATCATGTAGCATTCATTCTGTAGGCTTGTTTGGGAAAGTGCCCCTTTTTATCTCCTGATCTCCACTCTAGCTACCAGCACTGCTTGCATCAGTCACATGGAGATGCAAGTACACCAGCAAGTGGATTTGTGCAACTCCTGAACAATACAAATACTATGTCGCATGCTAGGTATCGATAATTTGAATGAATTGTTGCAAACACGACAAATATGGAATGCATGTTTTCTTATACATAAATTTATTTGAATGAATTGTTGCAAACACGACAAATATGGAATGCATGTTTTCATATACATAAATTTATCGTACATCACCTGTATTGGAAACAATTAACTCGTTTCATAATGCATGCACGAAGCATGATATGGCTCTGTTATAGTTTATTTTCGTAGTGAGTTTTACTTGGTTAATTTTTTGTTGGCCTGTTTCAGTTTCGCAAACAACAGGCTTAATGGACCTGAGCTGAAGGGACTGGTGCCTTATGATTTCGGATGCTGAAGACTGCAACCTTGAAACTTATCTGAGATAATTTAGTGCCCCATTACGATACGTAGTTAACAATGACAATGGCACATTGTTGATGTCAGGAAAGTTGATCGGGTACGCAAATAAAATGGTTTTATGAGATCTGCAGTTGGCCATAGACTCTTAGCGAACCTTCTCCAATAATTGTACCGGTGGACAGGGTACTCTCGTTATCAATATGTAAAACTGAGCAACGAATTAGATTGCTGCGCAACATTTGCTATAAATTTGCTCTGTTTTAGCACCCTGTTTTTTCCTCCAATTTTTTTATGTTATTATTGTTTGATCAAGCCGTTCAGACCATGTAGACCTGGTTGATAACTGTCAGATATTCCACCACAGCCAGGAGCGGGAGGCTATCACAGGCTATGTGAAACCAGCCTCCCGCACCACCCTCTACCAGAGAAACTAGCCTCATGGTTCAAGTCCAACACTTGGCTTGGACGCCCGGGGGGGAAGCAGATCCAGCCGCCTGGGCATGATCCGCGTCCCATAACCTAGCCCCCCCTGTAATGAAGGGTGAGCATTGTATGGTTAGTTCTTCAGTAGCGATGTGGGATTCAACTTTTCTACCCCCTCTGATTCCCAAGTCCCCATCACAACATCATCTTGCAGTTTTCCCGCTAGTAAATCCTTCTTCCTGGTCGCAAATCACTGTAGCATTTGTTTGGGTGCTGATGGTAAGATAGATTTAGAATAAATGAACACAACATCCTGAATAAGCGAAGTGGAAAATTTTCCAAGAGAGTCTAATTTTGGTAGCCAGTAGTGTTTTGCAAATCATAAGAACTAACAATTGGTCTAATTACGTTGTTTTTCTTACAATGCTTACCCATCAATTTCTCAGAGCTTCTCAATGGAAGCACGAGGTGTAAGAAGATTATAAAATATTTAATTTAAATCTTCAAACCCCATTTGCTGAGATATAATTACAAATGGCAAAGAAACATCGTTTCATAATCTCTATTCTTCTTTCATGTAATTTAAAATTTTAACAAAGTGATGGTCCAGTTGGGGCAGCCCATTAGGCTATATATATCTGAATCTGAATGGCACCAGCTTGTTATCCTTCCACTGCCAAGAGACGCAGGTGGTCTCTGCTCCGTGAATCCAGCCTCACGCAGTGCCCTTCACAATTTAGGAGTTGCAAGGCCAACCAGGCCTTCGCGTGATTAGCGAGGCTAGGAACGAACAGGCCAGTAAGAAGCCACAACAATTGGTCAAACATGAATCGTTGTCGCATCAGATTGATGCTCTCCCTAGAGTTATAGGCCCACGCTGCCGATCTCAGCTTCGACTCGTTATTCAGATGCAGTATATAAGGTATGAAGAGTTGATCTTTTTATTGGATGTGGGACCTTATTTCTTGCATGCCCAAGACCGGCAGTCGATCTCCACCAATTTGGAAGAGAAAAACACTTAAATTGGACGAGACATTCGTAGAAAGTTAAAATATTTGTGTACGCAAGTGTTGGTTTTGATTCAGATTGAAAACAAGAATATGCTGACTGAGTCCTTATATTTTGCTAGATATTCCGAAACCTGGATACTGTACTTGTTTATTTAAATAAATGATTATTTTTAATATTTTTAAATTATTTTGATATATTAATATTAAAAATAAATTTTAAAAAATAAAAATATATATTATTTTAATATATTTTTAAACAGAAAATAACCATAATATGAAACACTATATATTAAAATGATCATGTTTTAAAAAAAATTTATCATTTTAATATCAACGTGGAAGAAGATATTAATGATCTAAGATGAAATTTAGAAGATATTTATTTGAACTGTAATATAAAATTTATCGATAAGTAGAATGACTATTCAAAAAAAGAAGATGCTGGATTAGAATTAGCAGCCTGATTTGTATACGGGTTAAAATTAACTGGTAATGAATTGATTCACCGAGTTGATAGAATGAAATCAAGTTGGTATATAATTTAAATTTTATTATTTTATTATTTTTTATTAATAATTTTTTACATTTTTAAATTATCTTAATAAAATAATTTTAAAAATAATTTTTTAAAAAATAAAAATATATTATTTTAATATATTTCTAAAACAAAATACTTAAAAAAAAACACATCCACGCACTCATCAAGTTCAAAAATAGTTTGGTTTAAATGAAAACGACGTGTCATTCGTATAGATGGGGAGCAAATCGGGTCTGCAAGGAAACGTGTCTAACATAAAAGATACGTGGATTGAAGAGAGTGGCCTAGTTGAACGCGTGTCGATAAAGTGAAGGGCAATGCCTTACCGAAATGCTGGAAGGAGGGGTGTTTGAATGTTGGCGAATCGGTGTGGTTTTCAAGTACCTTTCCACGAGTTCAGCTACTGCCGGAAGTTTTTGTTATGTACTCGCTGGTCTATGGACGATAAGGTACTCGCTGCCTCCAAATTTCTAAGACTAGCCACTTTATACTGTGTCCAAATATGCGTTTTAGCTTCTTTTTTTTTTTTTGGGAAGAAAACATAAATATGCGTTTTAGCTTCTTTTTTTTTTTGGAAGAAAACACATGCGTTTTTAGTTATTAAAACTAGAAACTAATTCTTTCATTACTTGAAGTTATTGAAAATTGTTTTTATTTTATATTAACTTTATGATGATAGAATGATTATTTAATTCCACAATGAAGCATAAAATATATATAAAAAAGCAAAATTAAATGCGTTCACTATACTAATTTTGAAAATAATATTATAGTTCATGATTGAAAAATTATATCAAATAAAATACTTTTATTTATAAATATGTTATTCAGAACTTAAATTAATTTCATTGATTCTTTAATTTTATTAAAAAAAAATATTCTGATTTTTGTGTCTAGTTTTTATTTGTTAATAATTATTTTCATTTGCTTAGATTAAACTAAATGCTTAAAAGATGATACTGGAATTCTTACTTTATAGCTTAATTAATTAAATATTTTTAATTTATTTTTTCTATTCACATTCATATTCTTGACCTCAAGTGACCATGTTCTTATTTAGTTTTTATTTATTTATAGTATAAAAACTACTTATAAATATAAAATAACATTATATTATCTTATTAATTGTAACATCAATAACTATAAGCAACTTTCAAGCCAAACATGCATCATAGTGCTATTCCAATTACGTTGCTGCAATGTGAGTTCCAAATAAACAAATAAAATAACATTCAAATGAATAGAAGTGATGATATTAAGAAAAGAGGGTGGGGGGGCGAGTACACATCATTTTCCATACTCGTGAGACTAATTGAAATGATAGAGGGAGAAAAGGCGAGTACACGTCATTTTCCATACTCGTGAGATTAATAGTAGTATAAAAAAAACCCCTCCCTTTTATTTTACATGTATATTGGTCCACGAACTAATAGGCGAGTACTCTTTTAAGCCGCCTCTCGCTCTCTTCTCTAAAACCTCTAATGAACACAAACCCCTAGTTCACAAAAACCAGAAAGACACCTGCCGAGTTTCTAGACGCCACCAAAATGAGCGGCTCCTTAATGAGAAACTCCACCATCCCCCGCCTGCTACGCATCCACACCATCACAGACCCAGCATTAGCGACAACAACAACAACAACAGTTCATTCGATTCTCAGACAACAATATCAGACAAGAAGAGCTTCCTTTGATTTCTCAAATTTTTTTAAGAGATCAAGAGAATGCAATGAGTTCTCTCCTTCTTCTCTTTTGACCTCTTCTTTCTCTTCAAAGGCTGGAACCTCTGAGTTTTCCAAATTTGGGTTTGTTGGCTGGTACCTCGGGATGGTTAAGTCACGACCTGTTTTGACTAAAAGTGCCACTTCTTCTCTTATTTACATTGCTGCTGACTTGTCGTCTCAGGTAAATATGGAGCCACAGAGTTGTTAACATGACATATCGGTTGCTGGGTCTCTGTTGTTTCAAGTGATTTTGCTTCAAAAATGGGGTCTTTTTAAGGACTTTTTATTTTTTTACCGTTCTTTTTTTTTCGTGGATTTAGTTTGTGTTTATAGAGTTATATTTGGAGCAACTCGCTAAATGAGAGAGAATTGAATCGGGATCATGGTGATCTATTGAAAAGGAAAATAATTAGTTGGCTCTTGATGTTAACAAGCATTCCTTTCTACTGCGCCTAAAATCTCTATTTCTGCTCCTTTTTTTTGGGGGTGGGTTTCAGATATGATCCTGTATTATATTTTAGCAAAAAGCTAAATATTTGTGATGCCAATTTGAATTTTTGGAAGCCAGAGTTGTTTGATTTAATGTCAAGTCCTGCCATGTTTCCTTGTGAGACGATGGATTTTGTTTTAACGAGGGAGTTGTTTTTAATGTGGTAGAAAGCCATCTTCTTATATCTCTACCTGGGTAAGAATCTTTAGTTGCTTGGTTAATTTGGCTGAAATTATGGATGGTTTTTTTCTCTAGTTATGATAGATTCTCAAATCTGGGTCGTTACTTCATGTGTTGTAGTTGTAACTTGGAATTTGGATTAATCTATGGTTACTTCATTTATCCACAAGTTGGGGTGACTTATCATGTTTTTGTTTATGTTGTTCTATCTGCTTCATACTTGTGTTCTATATCACTACTATCGACTAAAGCTATCCATTGTCTCACCTTAGTGCTCCTCTCTCTTTAGCATTCATACGACAGCTTAGACCCGTTTGGTAAATGCTGTTGTATATTAGGAATATTATAAGTAAACTTTCAACCAGCAACTGCTTCAGTTTGCGTGTTACTCACTTTGTTTAGAATGCCCTGACAAAGCATGTATTCAAGTCTTCTAAAGACTGGTACGAGTTACATCATCCCCACTCCTCTCTTCTTTGCATTTTCAGTGGAATTGTTTTTTCTCTTTGCCTGCTTTAATGCAAAAATTTCACATGTCTATGCAAGGCTTAGCTGCAAACAGTTGCGATTAATAATTGCATGTGTTGCACTGGAAACTAGCTTTATCCCTGACATAATTTTATGAAATTTTTTTCTATTTTTCCTCAGACAATGTCACTGCCAAGTTCAGAAGCTTATGATCTGGTGAGGATATTGCGCATGGCTGGATATGGGTTCCTGATATTAGGACCATCATTGCATTTTTGGTTCAACTTCGTGTCGAAGCTCTTTCCTAAACGAGATCTAATCACAACATTTAAGAAAATTATCATGGGTCAGACCATCTATGGACCTATCATGACTGTTGTTTTCTTCTCATCGAATGCATGCTTACAGGGTAAGCACATAATTTTGTTTCTGCAGATACCACATTTCATATGCACTATTACATGGGGAATTTTTGCAATTTCAGATGCTGCTTTTTGGCTGTAAGCATAGAAGCCTGCAAACTAACAAATAAACCTGATTGAATTTGCAATGTTTTGTTCAATTATATCTTCCGTTGCTGTCAATGGCCAGTTCATTCAACGCACAAAGTTCAATTAATAAGCATGGAATAATCAGGTGTTTTTAATAAATCTGAAATGAGAGGGGTTTTTAAGTAACTCTGAAGATGTGAACCATGATAACCGTGAGTTGTTGACCACATATCTAATATGACTGTGAAGTGCAACCCTTGATGCTTTCTTGAGTTCAATTGATATTTGTTGGCATTAAAAAGTTCTTAATTGTCTATCTTTTGAAATTCTTGTTATTAAAAACATTCTGTCTGCATTCATGCCTCTACTGCATTTGCATCTTTGTTCATTTGTATTCATCAAACAGATCCTGTTCTGTCAATCAATAAAAATGTATTCCATTCTAATCTTTATGACTCAAGGGTTACCCCTCAAAGTCACAATCACTTGTATGAGCTACTAGAGAAACTTTAAAGTGAAGTGTTTGTTGCCTTGGTCACCTGGTTCAGGTGAGAACAGTGCCGAGATTATTGCCCGGTTGAAGCGAGATTTATTGCCTACAATGATAAACGGTGTTATGTACTGGCCTGTATGTGATTTTGTCACGTTCAAATTCATTCCCGTCCATTTACAGGTAGAATTAGGTTTATTGCTATTGTCAAAACTAGTATCCATATGATCTGGTTTATGGACTGCTGACTTTTGTTCTCGGTGTTTTTTGACAGCCCCTGGTGAGCAACTCTTTTTCATACCTATGGACTGTCTACATGACATATATGGCAAGTCTAGATAAAGCAGGCTCTTCCAGCTGATGGACTCAATACTTGCCTTCTCATTTCACCATCATTATGTCTTTCAACTACACAGCCCTGCACTGGAGGTTGCATGCATAATCATTGAAACGAAATTGGGACAATTGAGGAAATCGTCAGTTAGATCTCTGATACAATAGAGAATAGCAAGTAGCAACCATCATGTTTGATGGTCTTCTCATGATTGTTTTGAGATAATTTACCAGAAATGTAAAGTAGAACTAAAGTGTTTTGTAAAGCAATGGCGTAATGTCATTGGAAACATCTCTTCGAAACATTGCTCACTGGAATTACATTTAATTTGTATCAAACTCCAATTTAAAATGCTGACCATGGAAAAATGTTACCCATTTTTGGGGAAATTGGTAATACAGAAGAATGAGCAAGTAGGATTTCAGATAACCACTGAACCATTGGAGTTTACAGTTTTCTCTGCATGTCTCATCTCAAAGACAGCTCACACCTAACAACTGAGAGCTGAACTAGAAGCCATTTGATCTCTTTGCAGATACAAGATGTGAAACACAGTGCTCAAGACCACATATTCTTCATGGTGAAGCCAGGGTAGCCTCACCTGTGAAAGAATACGGCTCATTTAGACATCACACCTGCGAATTTTACCATTAATAACTCAAACTCGAGCCAGTATTCTATCATGGAGATGACTTCTGGATAATTTCAAACATACACGATTTTGTTGTTATGCCATTGTCAAGTGAAATTCCACAAAAAAGGATTATTATGTCAAGGTCCATGCTTATATCACCAAGAAAGGAGAAGTCCTGTAACAAAGAACTTGAGCGCTGATCATCTGAACAGGAAAAAAGAAATTGAAGAGGGTGTTTAGTTCTCTGAACTAGGGAGGGATCAAAATTGATGATGATGATTGATGGAGAGGCTTGCGCTAGGCTACAAAATGAGTGCATCATGCAAGTTTCGGTCAACAACTACTTGTCCATCATGAAACGCTGGATCATCCTTGTTGACGTTTGTAAGCTTTTCATTGATTGAACATCAGTTTTCACCGACCATTGGCAGATGGTTTAAGACCTTCCTATGAATAACAGGATTTAATATCCAGAAATTCACATCCAAATTCGATACCAAGTCTCCAGCATTATGGATACGGATAGCAGCAAATGTAAGGATACGGGGCTTAAATGGAAAATAAAATTATGTTAACAAGCGACAATTTATCCAAGATGAAGTCCTAAATACATTTATACCAACAGAAGTAACAACAGTAAACAGCATTCTAAATCAAGGAAGCTTTATTTCATTGAAAACCCAGTACACTACAGGGAGGCAAAAAACAAGAGATTGGTTGATCAATTGTGTAAATTTCCTAAAATACCTAGTTCTAACCTGTATCTAGTATTACATTATACTATATAAACATGTTTCCTGCAACAGTTATGACGGCTGACATTTAAAGGCAACCAGGTCAAGCTGACCTAGGATTACCACATCTTCTACAGGTTATTATTCCCTTTGGGACTGCCTGTGAAACTCCACGCAAGTAGAGAGAAAATTGGAGTATATGATCGATTCAAAAAACTGAATCGTCAATGCATGTGGCTATCAACTGACATCCCATTTCATCAACCGCGTAACTTCTAATGCAATGGTGAAAATGTATTAATCACTCTTCAAAACCACACAAGGAGATTTTTTCAAGTTGCAAAGGCCAGTCCTCCCCAAGTATTTGTGGATTTGACTCCATTGCAACACGAAAATCCAACATAGATGCATTAACTGATTCTGTCTGTCTCTTTACATATCTCCCAGGTAATGTTTCCTTCAGACAAGGAATGAACTGACCATTTGCCCTTTTCAACTGTTCACTATCGCACCTTGCGCCAGCTAGAGCCATACAAGGCTCGATCAACCTCTTCAAATACGCATCCAACCCTATATTTAGCACGTTAACACAGTCCAAAGAGACACCAATGCCCTCCATCTCCAACATACGCTCCAAACGACTTCTTAATGATCTAGTGTCTGGCAGCTCTCCACTGTTTAGACAGGTCTCAGGAATGTAATTGCTCCCTATAGAAATATTTGAAAGAGCTTTACGAGATCCACCCGGATTCAGCGAAATACCAAAAGGAGCAGTAACCGGACTTCTACTTTGAACACCAGGGCTTACTGCCATCTGCTCAACCTCTTCTCCCTCTTCCACAGAAGCAACTTCAATTGGAGGTCTGCTACCAAGTGAATGCAATTCTGTTGCGCTTTGCTGCTCTTGGGCCCTTGAATTCAATTCCTCACATGCCATGCTTTGGGGCTTACCAAGTGGGCCCAGAAAACTTGGGCGGTCCCTAAACTTGCGTTCTCGATTAACAGGGGATCTTCCCTTGCGAGGGGAAGAGGGAAAGGCATCCCTGTAAAGTGACTGCAGATAATTTCTCTGATGTCCATTTGTGGTTTTGACAGTAAGGTTGCTTCCTGCTTTTCTTACACCTTTGGGTGGTGGAACTTTTCCAAGGCAAGCATTCTTGAGAATAGATCTAATAAGGCGGTTGTGAAGAGGGATATTTTCTCTACCAATTATCCTAATACAAAGCTTATCAAATTCACATTTGGTAATCTTCAAACTAAACAATCGTGTAAGCTCATCAAAGTATTTATCGGCTCTTTGATGTCCAATCTTTTTAAGAATCAAAGACTTGAGGTCTAAGGTATCAATTCTACTGTACATTTCATTCGATGCCATTGTTTTCACTCGGTCAAAAATTATTTATCTTCACCAAATCCAAAACCTTGAAACTTTGAAGCAAAGCCCACATCATTAAAGTGCTTCTTCAAAGATCCAAAACCTAAAACCCTAGTTCCCAAGCACCGTTCCCATCTGCATAGTAACCAGAAATACATCAAAATTAAACAAAGCTCGCACTTTTTTTCTTCTAGTTCTAATCAAGCATTAGCAAACCCTAGGTACCGATTCAGCTTAAAAAACACAGCTTCTAACTCTATTATAAGATGCTCACAAATAAAAACAGTTAATATAATAAACAAATACATTACTTGAATTTAAGAACTACATAAACAGAAGTTCCAGAAATAGAAAGACAATAAAGGAAATTTAAGAACCCAGTTGAAAAATAACAGAAACCCATTTAAATGATAATCGAAACCCCAAATGGTGAATTTTGAATTAAAAAAATGTAGAATGAGATACGTACCGAATTGGGATTAGGGTTTCCAATGTTTGTGCTTGTCCGAAGGTTTTTCCGGTGAACGATCCCTTGTCTATTTTTTTTATATTTTTTTTTGTTATGTTTTTTGTTGGGTGTCTTTTAAAAACAGACCAAAGGCAGCAGGATAGCTCATGGGCTTTTCAAGACACAAGTAACCACAACACGTCACGTGCACTTTCTTAAAGGCCTGTTTGTTTGCTGATTTTTGGCAGTCTCGGCTAATTTCGTTTTCTAAACATGGATCATGCAAGTGAAAATTAAAAGGCTTTCTGCTTCCTAAGCAAAAACAAAAGGAAAAATCAAAGAAAAATCCTCATGCATACATCTTTTTGCAGTAAAGAAGTAATTTGGATTCACTTTTATGAACCGAGATTGAATTTATCCTGGTTTGCTAATGATCGAATCTTTGTACATGAATAATTTATTTCACAAATATTCAAAAACTTCAGACTGCAATTCCTATAGAATTTTTGGGTCTATGTCCCGCATATTCTTCAACAAATTAATCCAGTCTATATTGTAATCCAGCTAGTGGCATTATTTATCCCTGAAAAGATGTAGATTGGGTTGATCTGTACACGAGACACTGTTTCTATTTTTTTTTTTCCAACGGAACTTGATCTTTGGTGGGGAAAAATGCACAAGCGGCATACTTTTGGAGCTGATGGAAAGTTACCAGGCATCCCTGGTCCTGCAGTTATGGCGGGGCAAGAAAAAGAAAGTTACCAGGCATCCCTGGTCCTGCAATTATGGCGGGGCAAGAAAAACTTACTTATTGAGAAACAAATAAGAACATATTTTAATGTTAAAACGGCAAAAGCATTTCCAAGCAGCCAGTCAAGTGATGAAATCACTTGGAATTGGCTTTTGCTAAATTAAACATACCCCCTTCCTGCATTCAAGCAACTAGGTAGCAGGATCATGGAGAGATGGACATCTTAATCTCATTTTCCTTTGGCATAGAAGTCTCTCCTAGGATTTCAACTCGTCAAGAAAGACTATCCAGCCTAGACATCGAAAATAACTTCAAGAACATCACACTATCAGAATAACAGTTTTACAAGGCAGACAGATAATCTATACATTTTTGAATTGGCAACCCCGTTGACGCAAAATTTTAAAATGATTTACAGAACTAATGTACACAAGAACTTCTCACTATGACTTCAAAAACTCCTTCCACTTGAACTTCAGTCTTCATTATCTGTTTTTGTATGAGGAAATGAAAAGAACCCTGACTAAAGCCTCATTGGCAGCTTCTTAGTCGTGGTTCTGGCACAACCCAGTTGTCCCTGTAGACCAGTATACGAAGGCACCGCTGGTACTTCTGTATCGAATTTGGTCCATTTCCTGTCCTTGGCACGAACTAAAGTCAGTATAAGGGAGGATCCCCAGAAGAAAAACTGCACCACTAACTAAGAACGTTTGCAAAGAAGCCAGAGGTGCATAACTTAAAGGAGCAACAGCACGAGATGCAGTCAAGGCTATGTGCACCAAGATAACACGATGAAGCACTGGCTTCTTTATTCACGACTTTATTAATGCTGGAAACCCAAAAAGCATTCCAGTGGCATATACGATGTAAAGCAAACCAATTATCGATGTATATGTGACTAGGAACTAACTTCCGATTTCATCAACCAATTAAAGCTATTGTGAAGACAGTATTTATCACCCTTCAAACCCATGCAAGGAGATTTTCTCGAGTTGTGTGGGCCAATCCTCTCCGAGTATCTGGGGATTTGACTCCATTGAGACACGAAAATCCAACATGGATGCATAAACTGATTTTGTCTCTCTTTGCATGTATTTCCCCGGTAACATCTCATTCAAACCAGGAATGAACTGACCACTTGCCTTTTTCAAGTACTCCTTTCCATGCCTCGAACCAGCTAAAGCCATACAAGGCTCAATCAACCTCTTTAAATACGCATCTAACCCGTTGTTCAACAGGTTAACACAGTCCAAAGACGCACTAATGCCCTCCATCTCCAACTTTTGCTCCAACCGACTTCTTAATGATCTAGTATCAGGTAGTTCACCACTGTTCAGACAAGTCTTTTTAAGGTGATTATTGCATAAAGAAGCATTTGAAAGAGCTTTCCGAGATCCAAAATTCATGGAAATACCAAGAGGAGCAGTGACCGGGCTTCTACTCTGAACACTGGGGCTTCCAGCCATCTGATCAACCTCTTCTCCCTCTTCCACAGAAGCAACTTCCACTGGAGGTCTACTACCAAGTGAAAGCAACTCTGTTGCACTCTGCTGTTCTTGTCCCCTTGCATTCAGTTCCTCACATTCTACACTTTGAGGCTTTCCAAGAGGGCCCAGAGGACTTCGGCGGTCCCTAAACTTGCAATCTCGATTAACAGGGGACCTTCCCTTGCGTGGGGAAGAAGGAAAGGCATCCCCATGGAGTGATTGAAGACTATTTTTCTGATATCCATTTGTAACAGTGAGGTTACTTCCTGCTCTTTGAGCTCTTTTGGATGGTGGAACTTTTGAACAGCTAGCATTCTTGAGAATGGATTGAATAAAGCGGTTATGAAGAGGGATATTCTCTCTGCCAATAATCCCAACAAAAAACTTATCAAATTCACACTTGGTAATCTTTAAATTAAGCAATCCTGTGAGCTGATAAAAGTATTTATCTGCTCTTTGCCGCCCAATCTTTTTAACAATCAAGGATTTGAGCTCTAAAGTATTAATTCGCATAGACATTTGATTGGACACGGTCATTTTCACACCCAAAACTACTTAATCCTCGTTAAAATCTTAACTTTAAAGCAAGGCCCACAACATCACAAGATTCGCAACGCTTCCTCGTAAATCCAAAGCCTGTACCAGAACCCTATAGGCATCAGCACAGTAACCAAAAACTCATCAAAATTCAAATAAATCTCACACGTTATTTTCTAGTTCTAATGAAATATGAACAAATCCCAAGTATAAATTTAGCTAAGGAATGCAACTTGAACATTTAAAACAAAGGTACACAAACTGAAAATATAAAAAAAATAAAAAAACAAAGTTAAAAAACTGTGTAATTCTACATTAAATAAACAGAAGTACCAGAAACAAAAATCGATGAAATTGGAAAGATTCAAGCAACAATTCAACAAAAAAAAAAAAAGTAAACCCGTTTGAGATATAACGAAAATAAATAACCCAAAATTGAGAATTGAAATGAGATGGCGTGGAGTACGTACCATACTATGAATTGGGTTTCTTTCTTTTTGTGCTTTCTCTCCAGCCATGTAAGGATTTTTCAGGTTGATCGATGGAGTCTTTTTTTTTTTTAAAGAGAAGCAGACTAATGTCCGAAAGGGCTTTGGTGGGCTTGGGAGTCGGTTTAAGACGAGTCAACACACGTGTGGTTTGAGAGAGGGCTTGTTTGTTTGCTGTGTTATATACGTCGGAAATATCTCCTATAAATTTGTGTTTTAAAAATATTTTAAAAAAAATTAAATTTATTTTATTTTTTATTTTAAATTAATATTTTTTATATTTTATTTAAGATATACTGATATTAAAAATAATTTTTTAAAATAAAAAGCACTTTTAAAAATAATTAATATCATAGTTATAAACACTTTAAAGATACGTTTGTAATTGTATTAGCTTTTATGGTTATGATTTAAAAAATTATTTTATAATAAATATTTTTAATTGAGATTGATTTTGTAAAATATATATTTGATTAAAAACATTGTTGAAATTAAGGTTGAATAAAAAGTAGTTTAATATATTTAGTTAAGAATGCTTTTCAAATTGAAATTATAAAATAATCACAAAACATATATTAATATTGATGATTTTTAATTGAAATATTATAGATTTAACTACTAATATTAATTATATCATGAAAAAAACAATGTTTTATATAAATATTATTTTTTATTGTCTCATTAAACTATATATAATTTCATCGTGTATGAATTGCATACGATAAAGACTATAGTTTTCATGGCTTTCTTAGCATGCAACAATATCATGTAAAATATCATCAGGAATAAAATTGGAATTATGATCAAATTTTACAAATGTTATGTCATCATGTGATTTTCTTTTAATGTAATTATGTAGTGCCATTAAATAATGTTAAACACTAGTTTTTTTTAATAAAACACAATATCTAAGAAATTTTGTTGAATTTTTTTATTTTTACGAGATCAGAGCCTGTCCAATGTATTTTGTTATGGGTCGGACCCTGTCAAACCATCAACAATGAAGATGAAGATATGTAGCAAAGAAGAAGGAAAAGGGGAAGAGCAGGCTACCTTGCGTGGTTTATTTTCCTATGATGGTGTTGTTATTATTGTCAAAAGTGACTCGATGTGGTTCTTGTGGTGGTGACGAAAAAGATAGGCGGTGGTGCCTCTTTTTATTCCTGTGTTGGCCTCGGTTAAACAATTATTTTTTATTTTTATTTTTCCTTATGTTACCTTTTGTTCTAGAAAAACTTAGATAAGATATTATTTGCAAAGCTTAAATTTTTTGTTTTGGTTAAACATCAGGTGCGACCTCAATTTACGATGGGTTCCAGCAAAACAAAACCATGTATTACCTTAACTAAATATATATTTTTATGGCTCAATCTCAATCTCACACGTAATTACATTATCAAATAGCCACTAAGAGTTGTTAATGAATCAATTACATAATAGGATTTCATTTAAAATTATATGTTTATGTACATGTACATGTATATACACACATAATAATAATTATTTTATTTAAAGCAATAAAATCTTTTTTTATATAACTCGGGGTATCCAGGTCAGCTTACATGCATCACAACTAATTCTTGGACCCACTAAATACCTTGCAAACCCAGTAAACAAGTAAAACATCGCAGGAATAACAGACATGCACATAAAAAATCAAACCTGGATATAGATATAAGAAATTTCTTTCCAGGACCACAACATCACAATCCTCTTTATTTTTAATAAAAGAATAATCAATGTATATACGTGTACCATTAAGTCACAATTAATAGAAAAATATATCATGTTAAAACCTTTATCTCCACTTGAAAAAATTAGTTGCAGTATATTTAAAAATATATCATGTTAAAACCTTTATCTCTACTTGAAAAAATTAGTTGCAGTATATTTTGCAGGCAACAATATAATTATTGTTCAGAGATAAAAAAACAAAAAAAAACAAAGAAGAGGATGTGTGTATTTTTCTTAATCAATTATTAATTTTTACATTGTGAAATCAGTTGAAACTTTCATGTTTTTCGATTCAAATATTATTTTTAATCTTAGTTTTATGAATTTAAATTATATTTTAATGATTTTATTTGATTATCTAGTTTCTCATTAGAATAATATAATAAATGAATTTACATTATGTATGGATTATAACACTGCTTGAAAATTATTAGGTGGCTGTTAAGACTTAAACTCGTGACCTCCCATGGACAAGAAACTGACTCTCACCACCTGGCTACAGCATAAATACATCCCTCATGCATAGATATAAAAACATAGCAGCACTGAGAGTCTTGGCCGTAGAAAAAGCTTATCTTCTTCTACTGCTCATGATTTCGAATCCTCATGTTCACGCTTATTATTTTTATGATGTTTTACATATTCATTGGATTTACAAGATATTCAATAAACTGTAAAATTAGTTTTGGTATGCACAAGCTAACTCGAACGCTCACATAAAAAAAAATATAACATATGCTATATTACTAATAGTGGATTTTTCTTAACAATGCGAGACAATGATTTAGCATTTTCATGGTTTGTGCGGTGTCTAACAAATTCAGGCTATGAGTTAAATTTTTATTTATTTTTTATTAATATTGTATTGGTGGTTGAGATATTATTTTTGTAAATTCTTTATTGATCATGTAAATTTTATGTTCATGGTTGCCCATATTAATTTATGGGAATTTAAAAATTAAGTCTATATCTAGATTATGACAAGTGTGCTTGTTGTTTTATGATTTTATAAGAGCGTAAATATATTTTTATTTGGGTTGGTTTATATTTTGTGCCAGAATAAATTAATTAGGCGTGGGTTTAGTTAAGGTTCTATGGTTTTTAATCTTAGGTTGAATTAAAATTGGTCTAGGATTGGATTGAAACCCATCAAAATAAAAGTTTGGTTAATGAAAATTTTGGCTGGGCTAAATCTTTTATATAGGTTATTGGGTTAAAGGTTTAAGGCTAATAATCAGTCAATTAGCCTAATAAAACTGAATTACGATATAATTAAAAACAAATCAGAAATTGGGGTTATTAATGAATAATCAATTTGATTACATTTTAAGCTTAAGTTAGAATCCAGGTTAATTAGGTTTAGGTTCGGTCTACCTATGGAAATTGGTTTGGGTTAAAGGAAACATAGCATTTTTATTTTTATTTTTATTTTTATTTTTTGCCTAATTTTTAAATACAATAAATACATGGACTAGGACTAAGTACAAGAATCTTAACCCGTGAGATAAATAAATTGATTTAAATTATAACAATTCATTTAAGCAAATCTTTTTATTTTTGTGTTTTTAAAAATACTTTTGAAAAAATTTTATTTTTATTTTATTTTTTTTAAATTAATACTTTTTAGTATTTTTAAATTATTTTAATACACTAATATCAAAAATAATTTTTTAAAAATAAAAATATATCATTTTAATATACTTAAAAATAAAAAATACTTTAAAAAATAAACACAATTACTCGTACAAGAGATCTTCCAATCAGCAGCAGTTCATTGAAAAGTTTCTTCCAAGTATCACTTGGTTGCCAACAGGAAAATCACCGAGCACAAAATTTCTCTCTCAAAAGCACTAGAAATCATTTCCAATTGCCAGTCGTGCAGATATTGATCTCAAATCACGAAGGCTCAAAGCTTGTTTGCTATAAATTTAAACACGCCCTTTTCTGCCGTAAAGTTACTTGGTGGCAAGAACTGTTCTACAGAATTTCCAAGAGCTCATTGGGAAAAACTCACCTAACAAGACATCAAAATACTTTTGCTCTTCAAGGACATCATATGGCACTTTATGATAGCAACAGTTTACAAGTCATGAAGATCATAAATTTATTTTATAAATTAATGGTAGTGTTGAGCAGAATTTTGTGTATGATTACCAGTACAGAAATATACAAGGATTCTCATTCGGATTTTAGAACTCCTTCCACCAAAACTTCACAGCTTTCCTGGCCCAGTTCTGTTGATGGCAAATCAGAAAGAAGGCTGACTGAAGCCTCATCTGCTACCTGCTGTTGCGGATGTAGGAAAACCAAGTTCTCTTCCCGTGATGTATTGGAAGGCAATCCCGTTTCTTCTGTATCAAATTTGGCCCATTTCCTGTCCCTGGCATGAACTAAGGTTGGATACAAGAGGAACCCCAGAAGAATAACCACACCACTAACTAAGAATGTCCGCATAGAAGCCAGGCACATAACCAGAACAAGTAACAATGCAGGAGGCAGGCAAAGCAGTGCTGCACCAAATGTTTGCAGGGGAACTTTATAAGGCCTATGGAGTTCTGGCTTCTTTATCCTCAATTTTATGAAAGCTGCAAACTCAAGGAGCATTCCTATAGCATATAAGAAGTTCAGAAATTCCAGGATCTCCTGAAAACTCATCCAAGAGAGGAAGATTACTCCAGTAGCAGAGCACAAAATGCTAAAGGTGGGAGTTCCATATTTGGACCTGCAGAAACACATTAAAGCACTCAAATGATGTAAATTTTTCCATTTTGAACAAACTTTACACAATATTTATGGTCTAGTTGATTGTGTTTGAAGTTTGGACCTGGAAAGCATAATGGTTCGATCAATTTGATTAGGAACCCGCATCCTTAAGGTGCACTAATAGGGCTTATTTGGCC